TCTACCACTTGAGCTACAGCGCCACTTCTGGTTTTCTGGTGGTTTATTGGAGATAGGAGTCTCACGGTCTCTCCTGCCCGGGCTGGCTTTGAACCACGATCCTCAGATCTCAGCCTCCTGAGTAGCTAGGATTATAGGCGTGAGCCACCAGCGCCCGGCCAGATCATATGTTTTATGTTTCCTTTACCTGATGAGATGTTAAAGTTTTGTATTTAACCTCCATCTCAGTTGTGCTTGTGAGTCAGTTATCTTGGAAAAGAATCTACCTCAAATATGGTTTTTCCCCTTAGGAAGAACATTTCTTTTCTTAATAAACTTACATTATTAACTGGAGGGGGATCTCATTGTTACATTTTCACACATATTTACAATATGCTCCAGTCTCACCCCCTATCACGTGTCTTTTCACCTTTCTTTCTTCCTCACTTCCCAAGACAAGTTCAACAGATTTCCCTGTCCATTTTTCATAGCTGCTAACAATCTATTTTGACTGTATACATCATCTTTCAAAATGCAGTTTATAATTGTTCACTCTCTATTATTCCTTTTCCCTTTCGGGTCCCTTCCTAAGTTAGATTTGTGTTCTGTAGTTATCCATAGAAAAGAGCATTTTTATTTTATTTTTTCTTTTCTTGGCAGTACTAGAGTTTGAAGTCAAGGCTTTGTGCTTGCTAGGCAAGTACTCTAACACATAAGCAATGCCTTCAGTCATTTACTTTTTATATTAGAGGACAGAACATCCTTCTGAGTGAGACAAGAGGCCAATTGAAGGTGTCTCTTTGAGTAATAATGCACCATATAGCTCTTTTTTGTCTGAGACCAGATTCAGATTCAGTTTCTGATGCTTTCATTCATTGGCTGGCACTACACCACCTAAGCCATGCTTCCAGTCCCCAAAATGTTGGTTATTTTTCCTTACAGCTCTTTGCTGCTCTCTATTCACTTTCCTGAGAGCCTGGGTTGACCTTACCCTGCTTTGTCTGGTGTGATCTTATTGTACACCATGGAGGAGATGACCTTCTCTGCCCAGTGAGGCCAGACACACTTTCAGCACCAGTGAGAAATGAGGAAATTAAAATGTCACTTGGATTTATAACTCTCAGTAACCTGGAAATTGAAATTGAAGTAAAGTTGCATGTGCATCCTGGAAGACCATGTTCTGTTCTTTTGTGTGTTGAATTAGGCTGCACAGCCCCAATATCCCCCAGTGGCACTAGAAGGTAGTTAAATAGTGGGGCACCAGTGGCTCATGCCTGTAATCCTAGCTCAGGAGGCTGAGATCTGAGGATCACAGTTCAAAACCAACCTGGGCAAGAAAGTTTGTAAGACTCTTATCTGCAGTTAACCACCAGAATACCGGAAGTGGCACTGTGGCTCAAGTGGTAGAGCGCTACCCTTGAGCTGAAGAGCTGTGCGCTCAAGCCTAGAGTTCAAGGCCCATGACAGACCAAAAAGAAGAAGGAGGAGGAGGAGGAAAAGGAAGAGGAGGAGGAGGAGGAGGAGGAGGAGGAGGAGGAGGAGGAGGAGGAGGAGGAGGATAGTTAAATAGACACAGCATCCATCTTGCTTCAGTAGTAGGTCTGGGAGGAGCAGACAGTAAAACGGCTGTCTCCCAGTATGTCCTAGGCTCCTCGGATGAGAGGGCCGCAGCACTTCTGGTGACATAGATCTTAGGACCTTGGTTGTACATTTGGTGTAGGCAGTTTGCCCGGGGATGAGGATCACAGGGCTGCAGCAGCGGAGAAGTTCCGTGCACTGCGGAAAGTTTTGGAGGGTCCAAACTCTAGTGGGTTCAGCACCACGGACAGAAACCAGAGCAGGAGAGCAACTGTGACTCTGAGCTTTCAGCACCATGGCCAGAGGCTCTCACTTTGCTTGCAAATCCTATCCCTCCGTATACCAGAGAGTTACCTAACCCATAAATGATGGCTTCCTTACCTTTGTAGCCTCCTGATAGAATGGGATCCACCTTGGAGCAACTCTAAGAACCGGCTGATTTGCGTATATCTTCATACACTGGGGTTTCTCCACTCTGGTTTTATTATAAATATATTGATCACAGGAAGAAAGAGAAGGATTATATCGCTTCTTTTCATCCTCTTGCCTTACCTCTAATTCCTAAGGTTTCAGTCTGGCTGTTTTCCTCATGTATCTGACTACAATCATATTCCCAAGGGCTAGAGGTTGGGGGGCTGTGGGTATCCTACATAGCTTTCTTCAGTTAATTTACCCCATCTGTTTGGCTTCTGAGGTATTCTTGGCAAGGCTCACAGGTAGTTTTGCATTTTGTTTTCCACCTAAGGTCAGAAGCTTTGGGCTCCCTGGTAAGAAGCCATGGCTGGCACTTTAAAGACAGCTGCAGTGATAGGACCTGGCTTTGAAGAGAGAGGAGTGAGGGGTGGTGAAGTGAGGACTCATTTCGAAATGAAAGGAGTCCTGGGTCTCTAAGCAGCTTCTAAAAATACCATCTCCCAGAGCTGGGAGGAGGGGGAGAGGAAACCAAGCGTGAGCAGAATGAAGATGGGAAGGAGGTGGGGATTCAAGAGCCCTTCTTCAGGTAGATCTCATTTCAGAGGCCCCGCCTGCATCCTGGAACCTGGCAAATGCCACACCTCCTGCTTCCTCTGGGAGCTTGTCTCCAGTGATGTCCCAGACCCAGCCCTTCCGGATGACCTTCCTTTCTAAGAGCAAAGGAGAATCCCCCCCCACACACACTACTCCTCCTATGGCTACCATTCAGCAAGTACATCTGTGAGTGTGTACACAGGCACCGGCACACACAAGTGTGTGTGCACACCCAATGAAATAGTACATGCAAGTGGCTTGTCAATGGTCAGTGATTTATGATGCCACCAATTCTTCTTACACACAGTGCACTAGGAGGTCTGGAATGCGGCGGAGATGGGGGTGATTCAGAGCACAGCGCCCAGGACGTGTTGGTTGGCAGGAAAAGACTGCATAATGTACAGAATGCACAGACACTCAGACCACAGACCAAGCATATGCAGGACTCACGCTTGCAATCCAAGCAGCTCCCTCTAAGCGTCCAAAGGGAGTAGGGGGTGGGGCAAGACAAGAGCGCTGCAAAGCCAAAAGGTGGGTGGGGTTTTCTCTCCTCAAGTTCAGCCCACATGGTGAAGCTCAGTAGCTGAAGCCCTCCTCCCTCCCCCTGGAAGGCCCCAACTCTTCCTACTACCAAACGGTTAAACCTTCAGCTGGTACATAAATGACCTTCACTAAACAGAGGTCGCCTTCCACGTTTTCTTGCGGCTTTCCAGCTCTGCTGAACTCTGCGAGGATTGCTCCGCCTCACTCCCAGATGTCTTGAATTGCCCAGCTTCTCACTAGTCTCCTGGCGGTGAGACTGGGGTGCTCAGAAGGAACCCCAGCCTGAGCAGACTGAAGGCAAAAGTGTGCTTGTATCTTGAAAGCAAGAGCAAAGATCCGCGGACCCAACCTTTCATACCAAATGTACTACCGCCCCCAGCCCGGCGTCTGCAGGCTTTCTCAACCTGGGAAGGGATGCTGGTAGGGTGGGACCTTGTCTCTCGCTTGGCTGTCTTTTCTCGAGCACCTCCTGGGGTCGGGCTCGGCCCATCCCGTGTGTGTGTGTGTGTGTGTGTGTGTGTGTGTGTGTGTGTGTGTGTGAGATGTGGGTGGGGATAAAAAGAGGAGGGATCAAGCCAAGACACACAAGGAGCCGCAGAAACAGGAAGAGAGCCAAGGGTTGGAAGAGGCAGAAGAGCTCCTCGGAGATTGGGGGTCAAGACATCAAGCTTGGGACCCCCCCCCAGAAAGTCCAGGAAACGGGAGCTACTGGGCCAGCTGGCTGGGAGACTGCAAGTGTCCCTGCTTGCCTGTGGCCGCCCCCTGTAAGCCACGCCCACACCGGCTACTTCTGGAGAAAAATTAAGGGCTAAGGTTTAGCTGGGCCCACCCCCCAAAGCGTGTTCATCTCGCTCCCCAGCAGTCCCCCTAGTGCTTAGGTCTGCCCCACCCCCACGCGTCGAGATCTGCGGGACCCCTTCCATTCCTCCCTCCAGTTGGGTGTTCCGCCCCTGGCTTACAAAACTCCACCCCTCCCATCTTCTGCTGGCGAGGATTGGCGGGCCTCCCGCGGCGCTGCCTAATGATTGGTCCCCGTGGATGATGGTGACCGACGAGACCCCGCCCCCAACCGGTGTTGGGGTCTGGGGGCGCTGCTCGCGGTGCTGGGCTGGCGCGGCTCGAGCCGCCGCCGCCGCTGCACTGACAGCTCGGGCTGCGGACCATGGAGCCTGGCGCCGGTCCACACCCGCTGCGTCCCCTCGCCTGCCTGGTGCCCCTCTGCCTGGCGGTGCTTTGGGGACCCGGGCGACCTGGGACAGCCGAAGAAGGTAAGGAGAAGGACTGGTGGCTGAGCTTGCGGCCGGGGATGCCAAAAGACTGGGGGACTAGCGGGAGGGCAGGGGGGTTTGGGGCGGGGGGAGAGGTGGCAGTTAATGGAGAGACTGGTCTGTGTTGCGTTTTGAAGCCAGCGGGCACGGGAGGCGCAGAACTGGACAGAGAGGGAGAAAGATGGTAAGCGATGGGGGAAAGAGGGGCGTTGGAGAGCTTGGGGGCTAGAGACCCCTCCCCGAGGCTGGGGGAAGAAAGAGACCAGGAACCGTGGGAGCCAGAGGCGGAGGTTCAGGGGCCGGTGAGTGATGGGAGGTGGGAGGTGTGGGGGGCGGGGAGATGAAGGGAGCAGAGGGGGCGAGGAGAAGCGGTGGCGAGGTCGGAGATGGGATGGACTGGAACAGTGAGGAGGAGCTGGGGGACCGCTGTGTGGCCAGCAGAACCAGCGGGAGATGGGATGCTGGTGGCCAAGACTGGGTCCAGACTCAGCCCGAAAGTGCTGAGCGTGAACCGTCCGCAGTGCTGAATTGTGAGCTCGCCTACCCCGCGCCGTCCGTGTTGCAGGGAGGTTTTGGAAGGTTGTGGGCAACACCAGAGCCTGCGTCTTGCCTCTGATTTTGCATTGGGTGTGTGTGTGTGTGAGGGGAGGAAGCCATATACTCGGTTGAATCCAGAGGTGTCATATCCAGGTACAGAATCCTGAGGCGATGACCACAAGGTTGGTTGAGGAATGGGATGGCAGATGCCTTCCAAATATGCAATTACAGTGTGCTGTCTGTGATGAGAAATCAGCACACCGTCAGTGGTCCTGCCCACTGTGGCAGTCGCCTCTGAAGCCAGCTTCTCTTAGAGGCCCTCACTTTGGCGGCCCAGACCCTTTCTTAAGATCCAGATGAGGAATCTGCCAAGATTTGGTGGTGGGGGTTGGGGAAGGGTGCCTGACTTCCTGTCTCCTGGCTGCTGGCACTGCAGTCCAAGCCCGTGCTTTCCTGTGACCAGTGCTGCTGATCTGCCGCCTCCCAGGGGAATAGAGACTCCAAGCTTCTTTGGTTTAATAGGGGCGGGAGTGTCATGGATTATATATAAAAAGGCCCCCAATGTAAAGGTGTCAGCCCCTGGGAAACGGGCTGGCTGGGGAGATGAGACATGTTTAGATCTCCTGTTGCCAGCAGGGTCTTTTCACTTTGTTTTCTCCAGAAGACCTGGGGTCAAACTAAATATGTAAGCCTCCATCCCTGGTGACTGAACATCAGGAGGGTTCCTGAATCTGAGTAGGTTTGGGAATGAATGCAGAAATTGCTTGATACCCCCCATTTTCTCTCTTGAACTGTCACTCATCTATAATTTGGGGAACCTGATAAGGCTAGGGTCACTGGCACTCCACCCCCAGGTTGAGAGCTGGCCTTCAGGCTGCTGTGGAGTCTGTGGAAGGTCGAATAATCACATTCCATAAACAAACAAAATATGTCCCAGTCTCCAGAGTGAGCCACTGGTGCCTGACTTTCCATTTAAATTTTCTGATATATCTGTTCTTCCATCTTCTCAGTTGTCCTCCTGGATTCCAAAGCCTCCCAGGCTGAGCTGGGCTGGACTGCACTGCCAAGTAATGGGGTAGGTGTTGAACTGTCTCTTCCTATCATGGGGATCCTCTAGGAGTCCAAGACTTATACCCTTTTAGTTCACATCAGTTCACAATCCCATGACCACATCAGGTCAAATGCACCTCTTAGTGTGTGGTCTCCAGCAGCCCTGTTGTACAGACTACTAGAAAATGTTGTGTTCAGTTAGACAGTCAAATGTATGTGTGTACAAATGAATGAATAAATAAGTAAAACAAGAAAACAGAAATTTGGCAGCTAGATGGAGCTAATCCTGGACAGCACACACAGTAGATCCTACAAACAATGTTGTCCTTTGAATGATAGAGCAAGCAAGATTAGGGGTCCTAAAAGAGGACTGGGAACTTGAGGTGGGGATGGGCTTAAGCAGTGTGGTTAGTAGAAGGGGCACTAGGTAGAGGAAGAGTCAAACGATTCAAGCTATACCACTAACTCAGCGTGCACACTGAGTCATCCCCCCTCTGGAACCTCAGGTTCCTCCTCCATAAAAATAAGAATAACTGCTTGTGGATGGGCACCAGTGGTTCAAACCTGTAATCCTAGCTACTCAGGAGCTGATATTGGATAATTACAGTTCAAAGCCAGCCTAGGAAGGAAAAGTCCATGTGATTCTTATCTCTAGTTAACCACCAAAAAAAAAAAAAAAACAGAAATAAAGCTGGGCATTGGTGGCCTCCACCTATAATCCTAGCTACTCAGGTGGCTGAAATCTGAGGATCATGATTCAAAGCCAGTCTGGGCAGGAAAGTCTGTGAGACTCTTATCTCCAATAAAGTACTCAGAAAAAGCTAAAAGTGGTACTGTGGTTCAAGTGGCAGAGCACTAGCCTTGAGAGGCTCAGGGACAGCTCCCAGGCCCTAAGTTCAAGCCCCAGGACTGTCCAAACAACAATAACAACACACACACACACACACACACACACACACACACACATTGCTTGTTCTACAGCACATGTACTAAATCTGGAACAATATAGAGAAAATCTGTATGATGCATACTCAAGATTGATAAATTCATAAAGTGTTCCATTTCCTTTTTATTTTCCCATCCCAAACATTCCATATTTTAAAAAGGAGAACCAGGTGTGGTGGCACACTCCTAGAATTCCAGTATATCAGGAGGCTGAGTGAGGATTGACAATCAGAGGCCCCCTGAATTACCTACAGACCCTTTCTAAAACAAAAACAAAGAACAAAACAAAAAAACCCACAGACTCATTTGTTTCCAGAGTTTCTCCTAGCTCTGCACTTTATCATTTTACGTGTGTGTGTGTGTGGTGGGAGCAATTAAGGAAAAGGTAAAAGCTGATGGAGCAGGACTAGCACTTAACCTCTTGGAGTACGTGGGCTCTGAGCTGTCCCCGACTTCTTTCCCCCTGCTTCTGTCCCAGTGGGAGGAGATCAGCGGGGTGGACGAACACGACCGTCCCATCCGCACATACCAAGTGTGCAACGTGCTGGAGCCCAACCAGGACAACTGGCTGCAGACGGGCTGGATCAGCCGCGGCCGCGGGCAGCGCATCTTCGTGGAGATGCAGTTCACACTGCGTGACTGCAGTAGCATCCCCGGAGCCGCGGGCACCTGCAAGGAGACCTTCAACGTCTACTACCTGGAAACCGAGGCCGACCTGGGCCGGGGGCGACCCCGCCTCGGGGGCAATCGGCCTCGAAAGATTGACACCATAGCCGCGGATGAGAGCTTCACGCAGGGTGACCTGGGTGAGCGCAAGATGAAGCTGAACACCGAGGTGCGTGAGATCGGCCCGCTCAGCCGGCGGGGCTTCCACCTGGCCTTCCAGGACGTGGGCGCGTGCGTGGCTCTGGTCTCCGTGCGCGTCTACTACAAGCAGTGCCGCGCCACGGTGCGGGGCCTGGCGGCCTTCCCCGCCACGGCGGCTGAGAGCGCCTTCTCCACGCTGGTGGAAGTGGCCGGAACGTGCGTGGCGCACTCGGAAGGGGAGTCTGGCAGCCCCCCGCGCATGCACTGCGGCGCCGACGGCGAGTGGCTGGTGCCCGTGGGCCGCTGCAGCTGCAGCGCAGGATTCCAGGAACGTGGTGACATCTGCGAAGGTATCCAGCGGCCAGGGAGGCACGTGTGGGAGTGGAGAACGCAGGAGACACTTGGGAGAGAAGCAGGGGGTGGGGGAGTGGATCATAGAGCTTCTAAGTGGGCCTAGTTAGGACCATGGAGCAAAGCTCCTCAGACCGAGGAAGGAGGCATTAGGGACTTGTATGGAAGGCATGATCGTCCGCACCTTACACTGGCTGTGGTGTCTTTCTTTTTATTTGGGAAGGTACTGGGAGTTCAACTCAGGGCTTGTCCACTGTCCTGTAGCTTTTTTTTCTCAAGACTGACACACTGCCACTTGAGCCATAGCTCCACTTCTGGCTTTTTTTTTTTTTTTTTGGTGGTTAATTGGAGAAAAAAGTATCATGAACTTTCTAGCCTGACCTGGGCTTTTTAACCTACATCCTCAGATTTCAGACTCCTGAGTAAATAGCTAGGATTACAGGTGTGAGCCATTGGTGCCTGGCTTAAGCTTTCTCACTTATTTGTGCAGCAATAAAGTAAGGGTTCAATGTCCCTACTTCATAGAGTGCTCAAAGAGATTAATACAGCAAAGTTAGGCAACTGGGAGCCAGGGCTTAACTCTGAATTTGCCATACTCTCAAGTTCTTTCTATTACACTAGGCTTCTGTCTCTGTATCTAAGAAAGACACCCATTCAACTCAACTCAAGCTTTTAAAGGAAGCCAGCCTCCAATCACCTATCATAGAATACATACAAGCCCACAACAGGCAGGGTGCACTTCAGAGGTCAAGAGAGAGCAAGAGGCAGATTGCAGTAGATTTGACTACTGAGATCCCACTCACCTCTCTGAATTAGAGTCATCAGGTACCTCAGAGGAGATATCACATGATGGGGTATTTGCCAAATCCTGGGGTCTATGGGAGGCATTAGGAAATGGAGGGTAAGGAGGGGGCTGGGAACGTGTGTATTTAATGTAAAAAAAAAAACAAAAAACAAAAAAACTTCAAGGATCCATTTTCTAAACCAAGTCCTTTTCTGGGTGTCAGAGCATCAGAAATGAACCAAACATAGTCCCAGCCTTCACAAAGCTCATGTCTAGATGGAAAACAGCAAAGATTTCTCTCTCTCTTTTTTTTTTTTTTTGGTGTGTGTGAGGGTCCGGTCATGGGGCCTGAACTCTGGGCCTGGGCGCTGTCCCTCAGCTCTTCAGCTCAAGGGTAGCGCTCTACCAGTTGAACCAAAGCACCACTTCTGGCTTTTTTCTTTTTGCTTATGTGGTACTGAGGAATTGAACCCAGAGCCTCATGCATGCAAGGCTAGTGCTCTACCACTGAGCCACCTTCCAGCCTGCAAAGATTTCTTTTCTCTTTTCTTTCTTTTTTCCTTTCTTCCTTGCTTCATTCTTCCCTCCCTCCCTTTCTTCCTTCCCTTTCTTTCTTTCTCTTTCTCTTTTTCTTTCTTTCTTTCTTCCTTCCTTCCTTCCTTAATGTCTTCCTTTCTTCCTTACTTTCTTTTTTGTCATGTGGGACTTGAACTCAGGGCCTGGGCACTGACCCTGAGCTCTTCTGCTCAAGACTAGCACTCTACCACTTTAAGCCACAGCTCAACTTCTGGCTTTTTCTGTGATTAATTGGATAGAAGAGTTTTACAGTGACTTTTCTGCATGGGCTGGCTTTGAGCCTCAGATCTCAGCCTCCTGAGTAACTAGGATTACAGGTATGAGCCACTGGCATCTGGCTCAAAGGTTGTTTTTTTTTTTAAGTCACAAGAAGGTGATATATGTAGAGGAGCATGCCGAATTGTGGAAAGACAGAGGAGGAAGACGGTGGCTACACTTACTGTCATTCCTTTGTTCAATCATCCATTTAATATGAACTGAAGACACACTAGCTGATTTATTCAGGTCTTATTATATGTGTGTAGACGAATGCCACCACCTAGTCTCTGGGGGGAAACTGAGGTTTAGTCTTTCTGGTCTCTGAACAACTCAGTCATGGCTAGGATCTATGTCTATGCTTTCCAGCACTCACAGCCAACTCTAATACTGCATTTACCCTACAGTATCCTCTTATGTGTACTTCCATCGCTGGAGTGGTACTTCTTGAGCCCAGGCATTGGGTCTCATTAGTCTCAGCAGCTGCAGTGTACACTGCAGGATACAGTATATGGCAGGTGCTCAATGGAAATGCCTTGGACAAGCAAGTAGTTAGTATGGGGTGATACATGTCAACAGAGCACTGAGGAGCATGGAGCAGGGAGAAGCCAATTCTAAGGATGGAGAGAATTTTCTGGAGGAAGTAAGAAGGCATCTCCTCCAGGTAGCAGAGAGAATTCTGAGCTTTGGGACTGGCTGCATGCCAGCAGGAAGGAAGGACCACAGCATGTGTGGTGTTATAAAAGTAATCATGTGTTTAGAGCAAAGGGAATGTGGGATATGAGGAATGATAAGGCTGGAGAGGGGTGGGAAAAATCATAAAAGGGCCTTGATGAGGTGGATTTTAAGGTGTGTGTGTGTGTATGCGTGTGCACTTGAACTCCGGGGCAGAGTGCTGCTCCTTAGTTTTTCTTGCTCAAGGCTGATGCTCTGTCACTTGAGCCACACCATTTGGCTTCAAGCCGTGATCCTGAAATTTCAGTTAGGATAACAGCTGTGAGCCACTGGTATCCAGCTTTAGTGTTTTTGATCATGTTCTGATTTATATCCTCCAAAGATCACCCAAGTGGTAGTAGCATAGCAAGGATGGGAGAAAAACACATTGGACACCAGAAGATGGCGAAGACAATCCAGTAGCCCAGGAGAGAGCACAAGCTCTGAACAGAAGCAATATGGAGATCACAGAGAGTTAATGTGTTTGGGAGACAGCCTCTGAATCGCCTAGTGACCATGTGACACAGGAAGCAAAGGAGAACTCTGGTCTTATATTCTGCTGTTGACTGAGTGACCAGAGGGATCATTTGCTAGGTATGGAGCACAGGGTGCAGCTGGACAGGTACATTCAAGAGGAAGTAGTTAGCTGGAGTCCAGCAGCACAGGTACTACTTGAAGCTCTGTATGTGTAACAAACCAGGAAAAAAAAACCATGGGGTAAGAAGCAAGAGGAGCTGGACACCGGTGGCTCACGTCTATAATCCTAGCTACTCAGGAGGCTGAGATCTGAGGATTGTGGTTCAGAGCTAGCCTGGGCAGGAAAGTCCATGAGACTCTTATTTCCATTTAACTGCCAGAAAACTAGAAGTGGTGCTGTGGCTCAAATGGTAGAGCTCTTGCCTTGAGCTGAAGTGCCCAGGCCCAAAGTTTAAGCCCCATTACCAACAATAACAACAACCAAAAAAAGAAAAAAGAAGAATAAAAGAAGCAAGCGGACTAAATATGAAGACTCTCATAAAAACAATATATAAGGCAAAAAAAAATCAGACTGGGGCTGGGAATGTGGCTTGGTGGTAGAGTGCTTGCCTAGCATGCATGAAGCCCTGGGTTCAATTCCTCAGTACCACATAAACAGAAAAAGCTAGAAGTGGCACTGTGGTAGAGTGCTAGCCTTGAGCAAAAGAAGTTCAGGGAGAGTGCCCAGGCCCTGAGTACAGCACTAGGATTGGAGAAAGATAGGTAGAAAGAAAGAAAGACAGAAAGAAAGAGAGAAAGATAGAAAGAGAGAGAGAGAGAAAGAGAGAGAAAGAAAGAGAGAGAGAAAGAAAGAGAGAGAGAGAAAGAGAGAGAGAGAGAGAGAGAAAGAAAGAGAGAGACCAGACTGATGGGAGACCAAGGGATGTAGCTCAGCAGTAGAATACTTGTCTGACATGCTTAAGGCCTGCTGGTTCAATCCCCAGTACTGCCAAACAAATTAAAAGCTGAAAAGAGAGAGTGGTAAGGAACTGGAGGACAGGGAGGAGAAGGTGACATCATAGAAGCCTGGGGGTGGGAGGCCGGTGGAGACTTCTGGGAAGGAGCAGCCTATAGTGTGGTCAGATTAGATGATGTCCTCTTGGTGGGTTTGGTAAGAGCAGTTTCAGCTGCTCTTGTCAGAGTTGCACTGGGCTGAGGGATAGCGGGCACTGAGGGGATGGAGTCAGAGAATCTCACAGCTTGGATGGGAATGGGAAGGAGACAAGAGGGCATTGTCAGGAGAACACTGAGTTGGGAGGATTTCTGTTTGGACACAAAGGGGACTTTTACAGTATAAAGGAGACTTGCTTGTATGCTAAAGGGAGAGATCCAGCCGAATGCCCAGTGTGTGGAGCAGCATTCCACTCTAGGAGGAAGGATTATTTTCTTCACTGATGTGGGTTAGAATTACTAATGTATGTTGCTAATAAAGAATGAGGCAAATTTTAAGTCAGTTTTAGGATTATTTAAGAATACTCTAGAGCCAGGCACCAGTGGCTCACACTTATAATCCTAGCTACCTGGGAGGCTGAGATCAGAGGATCACAGTTCAAAGCCAGCCCGAGCAGGAAAGTCTGCGAGACTCTTGTCTCCAATGAACCACTAGAAAACCAGAAGTGGTGCTGTGTCTCAAGTGATAGAGCTCTCACCTTGAACTGAAGAGCTCAGGGACAGCACTCAGGCCTAGAGTTCAAGCCCCATAACTACCACCATCAACAAAAATGATTCTAGAGTCAGTGCCCTGGTGGCTGCACAGAAACGGAGCACATTTCCTGCTCCTTGGTTCCATTGCTGAGCAGCAGAGGCAATGTGACTGAAGTGGTCTACCTACCAAGTGTGAGGTTTTGTATTCCACCACTAGTTCTGAAAAAAAAATGAAAGAAAAAGAAGAAAGAGAGGGAGGGAGGAAGAAATGAAGAAAAAAGGCAGCAGAGGAGGAACTGGAAGTGGTATGTGGGAAATGACTGATGGAGTGCAGACATGCAGGGGACGAGAAAGAGGGTCCAGTGTGGAGGTGTGGGGATGTGGCCTGAAACCAGAAGGTGGCTAGTGCCTTCCTCTAGGATCAGAATACAGGAGGAGGGAGATGGGCTCTGTTTGTGGGATTTGATGGCCAAATGCTGAAGGAATTCCCAACTAAGAGCCCAGGACAGTCAGAGCTTTGTCTGCTTTGCTCATGACACAGTATATTTACAGCCTAAAACAGCACCTGGCTCACAGCAGATGATAAAATTATGAACGGATCAGGAGGCAGTTTGGATGTACACTCTGGGAACACACACACACACACACACACACACACACACACACACACACACAGAGGCACACCTCTACCCTTGGGCAGCTGTGGAAGTTGCCAGCAGATGTTTCCTGAAGGAGATGCTGTTTAAACTGGGGGTTGGAGAAGTATAGAACTAGATCACCAGAAGAAAAGACACAAGATATATAAGACAAGACCCAGAGGTGGAAAAGAAGAGCTCAGGATAGCATGAATGAAGTGGCTGGCAAGTGGAGTTTTGGGAGACTTTTAGAAAGGGAAGGGAACTGGTTACTTGTATTTAGCAAGGCCATTCCTTCCAAATTCTTGCAGGATCTTCATACCCCTTTGTAAAAGTAGAGGGCTGTAGAGGAGGGAGGGGATAGAGCAGTCTTCTTTTACTTTTTCTGTCTTTAGTAACCTTGACTTGTTCCCCCTGTCCTAGCCACTAGAGAAATGACAAAGTAGGGTTTCCTTTTAGGGGAAAGATCAGGACTTATAGCTTGTATCTTCAAACTCATGGGTCATCCCTGGAACCCAGAGACCCAGGAAGATCTACTTTCTGAGGCTCTGCAGGGCATACTGATGTCTCATGATGGGGTAGTCTGGCCAGCATTGCCTATAGAAGGGAGAGCGAGGGATAATCAGGCATCTTCCTAAGAAGCACTTTCTAAATGCCTGCACATTAAGAGCTATCTGAGCAAAGACCAGTGGCTCCTGCTGGGAAAGCTGCCAGAGGACCAAGCCAGTGGGAGTTGAAGCAGATGACCTCTGAAATCCTGATTCTGACCTTGAGGAAGAGAGGGAGATGTTGGCTGCAAGGATTCCTTTCTGAGTCTGCCCTTCAACAAGCATCTCTTCTAGATAGACAGTCTCAGAGAAGAGATCCCCACAGCTGCCTCTGATAGAGCCACACAGATAGCAGCCAAGATGGCAGACATCCGTATACTCTCCCCCCTCATGCCTGCATCCCTGCCCACCACACAGGTGGGCAGGCAATGATCAGCATTCTCATTTACTTGATAGTTTCCTGGGGCTACAGAGGCATGAGTGGCCTGGCTAATATGATAACCCAGGCCTTCTGAGTCCCAGCAGCTCACTGTGATGGCTGGACTTGGTGCTCTGTGTGGAAGAGAGACCCACAGCCGGCTAGGGTGCTGAGACCCTCCCTAAAAGTGTGCTGGTCAGGCTCTGAACCCTTCTAAATCTAAGCTTTCTATACAATGGAGTAACTCAGCATCCCCCACCCCAGTTCTTCCCAAGGAGCAGTTTGCTTACCAGCTACTGCATTGCTTTCTTGGAGCTGAAGAGCTAGAATAGAGGGAAGGGAAGGGCTAGGGAACAAGTTAATAACCACCTAGGTTAGAAAGGAGGAGCCAGGAACCACTACTCCCCTCCCTGGCCCATCTGCTGAGACAAAAAAAAATAGAGGACAGTGTAAGTTTTCTTTTCAGGCCTGTGAGGAGGAATACTAATCACTGCGATCGCTGTGAAAAAGTGTACGCCGGTCTAATCCGTTTACATGTTTTATCTCAGTTAATCCTTCAGCAACTTTAAAGTAGCTCTTCCACACAAAGCTCAGAGAGGTCAAATGATAATGCTCAAGGCCACTCAGCAAATAAATGGTGCAACTTGGTTACAAACCAGGGTGTTCAGACATAAGAGCCTGTGCATGTAAGTAAGTGCTATAGTCTTGGTGAGGTGGGAGAAGAGAGAGAAGCAAAGTCACCCTGCAGGTGTCAGCATAAGAAGAGGTTAGCTCAAGGTCCAGGTAACTTTCTGGATGCTTCTCCTCTTCTCCACAGTTATCATCTTACCAGCTCCACTGGAGTCTAGGATATGCGTTGGGGATTGATGACACTAACTCCAAACGTGGGAGGATGAGGTTTGACAACAGTATGTGTGTATGAAGAAGTGGGTGGAATGTGTCTGGCCCAGGGTAACTGAGGCCCAGCCCTGGGGCACACTTCCGTTATCTCTCTAGAATCAGGACTCCCTAATTTGGCTCATTTTCTGTCTAGGAGCCTTAGAGCAGCCTGATGTGGTCTCTGAAAGTGATGTGCCTGAGTTGGCATCCCATTAACCTGGACAACTTACGTAACCTTCCCAGCTCTTAATTTCCTCTTTTGGGTGTATGTGGGGGGCGGCTGAAAGGGGGGGCAGTTCTGGGGCTTGAACTCAGGGTCTGGGAGCTGTCCCAGAGCTTTCCTGCTGCTCAAGGCTAATGCTCTACCACTTTTAAGTACAGCTCCAATCTTGGCCTTTTGTTGGTTAACTGAGATAAGAATCTCACAGATGTTGCTGTCCAGGCTGAGTAGCTAAGATGATATATTATGATGCTTGGCAGTTTCCTCATTTTAATTTTTTTTAATGAAGATGAAGTCATACCTCATAGGTTGGCACTAGGATCAGTAGATTAATAGAAGTGAAATATGACGAAGTCCCCCCCTCCCCAATGTTTGCCAAAAACCCTGGGTTGCTCAGGAGCTGCCACGCACCAGCCACCCCGGAGGTGCGGGATCCCTCAGTTTCCTTATCACAGATGGACAAGAGGAACCCCAGCCTCATGGGGGCCAGGCAGGAAGGGGGGGAAGAGAGGAGCTGTGGAGGAAGTCCCCCTCCTCACTGGCTCCCTCCTTGCAGCCTGCCCCCCAGGGTTTTACAAGGTGTCCCCACGGAGGCCTCTCTGCTCACCATGCCCGGAGCACAGCCGCGCCCTGGAAAACGCCTCCACCTTCTGCGTGTGCCACGACAGCTACGCGCGCTCGCCCACCGACCCGCCCTCGGCCTCCTGCACCCGTGAGTGTCCTCGCTGCGCGCGGCCGGAGGGTAGGGGTAAGAACCCGGGGACCCCCCCACACAATGGCAAGCCTGGGTGGGGCTGGGGACCAAGCCCGGAGTGGGAAGATCCCAGACCAGAGAGAGACCCGATGCAGGAGGGATGAGGTTGGGACTCCCGGAGGGTCGCCCTCTCCTCATCCCCGCCCCCCTCCAAGGCCTGGAGGGGGCACCGGTCTGTTCTCAGCCCTCACTCCCCCATCGTGTCCCTGCCCGCTCCTACACCGCCCCCCGCCCAGCCCCGTCTCTCCATCCCCTCCCCGTTCTGGGCCCCCACGTCCGCTCTCGCCACCTCATTGGGGTGAGGAGCGGCTCTCGCCCGGCCCGTCGGTTCCTCCCCTCCCTCCCG